TCACAGATGGGTAACTACAGAGGCATCGGCTTGATGTCAATTGCAGCCAAAGTGTACAACAAGATTTTGCTGAATAGAATACGACCAGTAGTGGACCCACTGCTGAGGGAAAACCAAGCTGGCTTCAGAAAGGGCAGGAGCTGTTCTGAACAGATCCACATTCTTCGCAGAATCATGGAAGGGGCAAAAGATCAACAGCTTCCACTGTTTATTACATTCATTGACTTTCGCAAAGCATTTGATTCTATAGACCGCCCAAGATCGAGCCATTTGGAAAAACATTGCAGTACCCACAGGTCAGCCTATTTTCATATGACTTACTGAGTCACTGTGTAACTGAATCCCAGACTGAATGACTGAGACACTGAATATAACTAACATCCTAAACTGAGATTTAATACACATGTACATCATATTACAATGTACAGTGCACATAGGCAGTGTGATGCACCGACATGGCTCTTTTTTGTTGATCATCCATGTCTTGGTCCGGGGGTATAAGGGCAAAAAAATATTTGCACATAGTCCACATTTTTTTCAATACACCTTATGTAGAGCAGGAAATCCCAGAAGGTGTTCTTTCTTTTAATCAAAGTGTCGCGGGCAAAGTGGGAATCCACGCAATGTTGGAATTCCCACTTTGTCCAGCTGGGCAAAATGGGAATTCCAATACTGCCCGGAAATGAAGAAATGTATCCAAAACTTACATAATAGACAAAATTGTACAAAGGGATGTTAAAACTAGAGGTCTATGTCTGCTTGAAAACAGAACATAGGTCTTTTCTGGTTATTTTTTTTGTATGACTTTATGCATTTTTGCCAATGTACAGTCATGTAAATTATATTTTGTTGTTCAAAGTTAATAAAAAAGTTATATTGAGCTAGTATAGCCAACAGATATAAAATGTATTGTGGTCTTGGTCATGGGCGTCGCCAGAATTTTTTCTAGAGGGGGGCAAACAATTTTTGCCAAAAAATGCTTGTATTTCTCAACACATTCTCAATTTATCAGTTTTAGAGGGGGGCAGGGATATTTTGCCCCCCAACTCATTAAATTTACACCACTTTGTCTTCGCGCTTCTTTTTCTTTCTTTTTTTTCCTTTTTTTTTCTTCCTTTTTTTTTTTTTTTTTTTGGGTGCTTTTCCAGGGGGGGCAAGTGCCCCCCCCTTGCCCCCCTCTCGCGACGCCCATGGTCTTGGTTTGTACTAAGGTTGAAGTCAATCCAAAGATGTGTTAAATTTTAGATGAGGAATGAAATTGGAATGATGACGTCACCTCACTTTTTACCTATAACACATCCTGGTCTACCTACATACCAAGTTTCAACCCAATTTGACTTATAGTTCTCTAGATATAGGACTTAACAATATGCACATTTAGGATGGCGTCACGTGACCCATGATGACGTCATCTTGACGTCAACTCAATTTTCATCTATAACACATCCCGGTCTACCTACATACCAAGTTTCATCCCAATCAGACTTACAGTTCTGTAGATATGGGACTTTACAATATGCACTTTTAAAATGATGTCACATGACCCATGATGACGTCACCATGACATCACTCTTCGGGACACAACTTTGCGATAGGGACTATGCACGTGGTAACTTTGAATGATGTATGACAAAGATAAATGCCAAAAAACGTGTACAAAGTCTATGGGATTTAGGCGACAAAAAGAAATAAAAAAAAATTTAAAAATGGGAACAAAAACAAAGGCTTTTCCGCAACTTTGCAGAAAAGCCCCCCCCCCCCCCCAAAAGAGAACAAAAACAAAGGCTTTTCCGCTCTATGCTGAAAAGCCAATTACCCATTGGTAATATTCCTACATTGCGCTGTTACTAAACCTGGGCAAAGTGGGAATATGTATTACATATAGCCTTTTACATTTCAATTCATTACAATTCATTACAATTGTCCGTAATTCCCACTTTGCCCAGGTTCTGTAATAGGGCAATGTGGGAATATTATCAATGGGTACTTTGAACAGCGCTTATCTACATGTATATAGCAAATTACATTTGAACGAAATTCCCACGTTGCCTCGGTTCTGTAGTAGGGCAATTTGGGAACAACATTCCCACTTTGCCCTGGGCAAATTCCGAATTTACCCAGATTCCTACATTGCACGTGACAAAAGCACAAAAGAATCTCGCGATCCAAAAATTGGGTTTTGACGTTACTACTCATTGCTGAAAATATAAAGTTTGGTGCTAAAGGGACCTGTTTGTTCTTAGGACAAAAAATCAGCAATTTTTGCCACAAATCAAGTTTTAGTGTTCCAGACATGCTCCGACAAGACGGAACATGGTGTGTTGATCATAGTTCTCCAGTGCGGGGAGGGACAGGCGGGCCAGAATTTAGCCATTTCTGATGTCTTGATCTCAACTTAATCATCTGTAATTATTTCAGTACTTTTTAACATAAAAAAAATGAAACCTCTTCCTTTAAAGTGTGTTGTACTATTTGGAAATTGCAATCGCAAATGACTATTTTCCATATTAAAAAGACCAGTACACACACACCCACAATGAATGTTTTACAATTTGTCTTGCCGCTGATCTGCTGATGGTTTTATTTACAAATACATGTAAATCTGAATCAGCCTAGTACTAGCACGACTAGGCCCTATTAAACCAAGCAAATTTCTGGAAAATGTAAAGGGAAAATAGTTTGATTAAATTACACAGATTTTAAACTTGAATTCAATATATAGTTAAATAAATTTTGAAGTGGTTTATTCTCCTCGCAATTGATAAACTAATAATTCCAACTTTCAACAAAACATGGAGGAACATCAGCAAGCATCCTTGCAACAATTTACAAATTATGTCATACACACAATCACATTTCCAAAATAAAAAGGGGAAAAAATGCAGATGAAAATACATGGTTCTCAATTTCAGTACAGAAGAAGTTAATATCTTAAACAGATGAAAAACAAAAATTCCTTTGTAATATTTAAAACTTTGGGCAGCGGAATGACACCAGTTGAAGCCATTTGGTGCAGCACTTTGACAACTGTATATATGGGCTTTGTGTGCACAAAAGAGAAGCTTTTGTTTCGTTTTTGCTCATATAGTTCTAAGTACATGTACGCATGGCTTATCTTATGCATAACCAGTGTTCTAGCCAGGGTGAAACTATAGCCTAGGCGCATTTTGGATTCTAGACGCACTGTGGTGCAATCAAGGTGATTCCTGGCCACTTTCACACTGACCCGGATTCAAGATTAAAAAACTATCAAATTTGATACACTAATCCAGTATGTCTTTAAAGAGCACGTTCATCCACTCATTTAAAAAAAAAAGAATTACTGAAATTCACCCATGATACCAGAAGTTCTGCATGTTTTACAAAAGTAACCCATTTTTATAGCTGTCCATGGAGTGCTTTTGGAAGTTATTGAGTTTAGTGAGAATTACAGATTACACACCAACTTTTAAATACCAATGAGATTGTAATAATAGAAATCAAGATTGCGACCTTATTTTTACTGTGAGAATATGAGAAACAATTCAAGTCTACGAAATATTGATGGCAATTTTTGTATGTTCCTTTGGAAGTTCTCGTTCATTCATGAGGTGGGAAAACGTCCATGTTTCATTGTAATCAACGGGTATTATCAATTCACAGCAAGGTAAATGGAAATAGAGTATGCAATGTAAGTGAAATGTTTACAGTTAAAAGTCAACATGATGTACTTTATCCCTTTTTTTTTAATCCTTTTATTTTTAAATAAAATGGAACAAGCAAAATATTTTAAAAATATCCTGTGATAACAACCGGTCATGCAAAACGTGCTCAGTGGCGCCAAAGTGCATGTCTATTCAGTTCTTAGATAAAAAAATACTGCAATGAGTGCCGCCATTGTGATGCTCGAGACGGTCCACGCAAGTTGCGGTATGGTTACGGGACGTCTGGAGGTCCCGCAAATTTATGGGTGGTTTATGGGCACACGCAGATTTAAGGGGGTTTCGTGAATAATCCGCAAGTGCTTAAGTGAGGGTTGCAGGGAAGTTGCGTGCCTGCAAATCATTGCGGGTGCTTTGTGAATAAGGATTCTGGACCCTACACTGTAAGGGCTTCAAGCTCCGCACTTGCATTAGTCCTCGGAACAAATGCCCCTACGCTATAATTTCACCCTGGCTAGAACACTGAATTATGCAACGCAGTGATGTAAATGGTTATTTTCCTAAGTAGATTAGTTTTTTGGGTCAGTGTCTTGACATCCCATGGAGGTTCCAGCCAGGTATTTAAAGAATTTATCACGTGAAGAGGAGAACACATGAGAAGATCATGAAGCTGGTCTGCTGTAAGGTTGGTGCGGTCCATTAGGTTGGGATCCAGTTAAGTCTTTCCTTGGTGATGTTGCAGGCATCAGGGCCAGGGGTGGGGACATTGGTCAAGAGGGAAACATCAAAAGGTGGCCACGATGCCGTCGGGCTGGATGTGAGATCTTGGAGGAAGTTGGCAAATTAATCGTAGTTGGAGATGTGGTGCTCAGTGTTGTGAACCAGAGGGTAAAGGATCCTTGCCAGGTGTCTGGTTGTGTTGTAAGTGGGGCCTCCCGGATAGGCCACTATGGGCGCAGGGTTAGGTGAATCCATTCAGTGGCTTATCGTTCTCTTATAGGAATGGAGCCAGTAAATTCACAATCACCATGTATATACATACATACATAGCACCCCAATCTGAACAGCGTCAGATTTGATAAAGACCCATCCTCTCCTCTTTCAAATTCGTATAGCTGCTGGTCCTCCTCCCCCCCCCCCCCCCCCAATTTTGACAAGAAATCACTGCTCCTGCATACAGATAATTTACAGCGAACATGAAACATATGTTGCCTTGTGACAACCCTGTGAAATAATATCCAAAACTGAGACATTCGGGTCATGTGTAACTAGGCAAGCATAGTCTTGTTACTGAATGAAGGAGTTACTTTTTTTGTTGGAATGTCATTACATATGCTTGTGGTTGAGTTGTCTACTCACCAATTTCCATCTGAACCTCCAGACGTCCTGGCCGCAGCAAAGCTTCGTCAATGAGATCACGTCTATTTGTCATACCTAAGCAAATTAAATGTTACACCTGTGAACTTTTCGGTATATTGTGCTACGAGCAAAAATATGTTGAATACACATACCCAACTTTACAGATGGGGTATGTGGGGTTACTTGCATTGTTCTTCTTTTCCCCTCCTCTTAGAATTTCCATTGTAGGGCACTGTCAAACAAAACACGACTTGTGGGGCACCATTGTTTGAGTACCCCACAAGTACCCCACAAGTACCCTCACGTAAAAAAACTATTGAAATGTCCCTCTAGTTGCTGTGGTTGTAATACTTTGGTTTCTATGGATTCAATACATTTGGCAGTAATTCTTAAAGTCTTTTTGAGAATATGGAAAGATAAGGCTTCGCCTCGCCCATTATGTGGAGGAGGCAGCTGTCGCCGGCCTCGCAGACGAGCAACCCGTGAACAACTCATGAACACCACATACACACATGCAGTTGTGTTTTACTATACTCCGGAGGACAATGCTTTGTTTTTCCCTTTTAAGCACATAAACGTACAATTGAGGACCATTTTGAACAAAAGACCCAACCCCGAGGACTGAAAGGATCTCTTGTTCTCCCATTGTGTGTCGGTCCTCGGGGTTATGTAGGGTAGGCATACACCGCGTTATGGGGAAGTTTTTTATTGTTAGGGAAATTAGGACCGAGTTATGGGGACTTTCTGCTGTCCCCATAGCATTTTCGGTTCCCACAAATACCTTGCACAGACGAGTGTAAGTCCCCACAATTACGGAACAAGAATTTACATTCATGTACACACACTCACACACCCACATGCACCCTTTCTTCTGTATAGCATAGCAGTGATGTTTAAATATTAAAAATAGTATAAAACCAGGATTTTGCCCTTAAAATTTCCATACCAACTTTGCAGACAGATTCATATGTAAATGGAACATAATTTACCGATGATGAGAATGTTATTAAGCTGTTCCACACCATCAATTTTGGCAAGAAGCTGGTTTACCACTGTATCATGGACTCCACTGCTGCCACTCTGAAAAACAAATTCAAGAGAATTACTGCAGTAGTTGTGACCAAGAGTTCAATAAAAGAAATGGGAACATGAAAACTAATTAAAGATACAAACGGCTAACAGATATCTAGAAAGTTTTATGGCATTCTCTGGCTGCATGTATGTACAGCACTGCATGTGGACTGGCCACCACATGCAAACTAGAGAATAGCACCATTTTTGAGTTCAGAATTGTTGCACATGCTCTTCACTCTGTAACAAGATTGGAATGCTATCGGGTAAATATAAATTCAACTTCTAGGGTTACCTTTACACAAAATACCGAAGGCCGTACTGTTTGTTTCTTTATATGTCAACCAGTGTTGGAGCAAAGGCTTTGACTCTCAAGGCCAAGGCCAAGGCCAAGGCTTTGACCCTCAAGGCCAAGGCCAAGGCTTTGACCCTCAAGCCTCGAGGCCAAGGCCAAGGCTTAACCCTCAAGGCCAAGGCCAAGGCCAAGGCCCTGTTTTATGAAATGACCACTGATATAGAACTAATTATAGTCATTTGAGTGACACATCAAAGAAATTTTGTTCTCCCCCCCCCAAAAAAAAGTGGGTCAAAAAATGACGGCTCAGTGGGCTTCGGGGCCCGCTTAAGGGCCCCGAAAAATTTTTGGATTCGAGATGCTCTGTGGTGCGATTTGAGGCAATTTCTGACCATTTTAACCGATGTTTTTTGAGGAAAAGATGGTGGTATACTCATTGCCTGCCTTTATTACGACGTCACATTAAAAAAAATGGTTTCGTTTTTTTGGGGGGGGGGGGGCATGGCCCCTTTTGGCCCCCCTGGATCCGCCCTTATCATCAGGAATTGCTCGTTACGAAGAACAACATTTCTTTAATTGCAATCAACATGCTCGCATAGGCCTACACCGTTTTATGACTGCACTGTATCTATTAAAGTATAAGTTCAGGTCTTCAATATGGTTTAACTAAACAAAATAATGATTTACTTCTATATTGACACACGATTCTCCCAAGTGTAACAAAAGGGGGATCCAAGAAACTGATTTGGGAATTTTTTATTTGCTGGCCCAACATGGTCAGAAATATCAGCATTATCTAAAACAGATACATGCAAATCTTTAGCACTTATCAGGGAGACATATACAAACAATCAGATCTATTCCATAGTTATATGCAATTAAAGTGATCATCTCATTAGCCCCACAAGTGTACAGAATATTTTTGCAGCAAATCTACTACATTGGTAACAAAATGTGATGCTACAAAAGTGGAAGTGTGCCCAACACACAAATTTACAGGGTGCTTCCCTTCTCCATGGTAATACAATTAAAATGGTAACAGCAAAATTTCGAACAGATTTATCTGGAAAATGCAAAAATCTATGGGCCTTGAAGAGCCTTGACTCAAAATTGCAAGGCCCTGAACCCTCAAGGCCAAGGCCAAGGCTTTTGCCCTCAAGCCTCAAGGCCAAGGCCAAGGCCCTAAAATCCAGCCTTAAGGCAGCCTTAAGGCCAAGGCCCAGCATCAAGGCACTACATCACTGATGTCAACCCATACATTTTCCAGCCAAAATCATTGTTCATAAAGACAAAATTTGGTATTTTCATTCCAAAGGCGGCTGTAAAGGCAACAAGAAGTTCAAGACACACACCAAGACTGCAGTGTACAGTGCTTGCGTCTTAAGAAAATTATCTATGGCAGCGAGACTTGGACGCTCTACTCCCCTACAAGAAAAATGACTTAACTCCTTCCATATGAAAAGCCTAAGGTGCATCCTTGGCATCAGGTGAAAGATTGAATCAAAAATATTAAATCCTGGTTACTGCTCAGACCACGAGCCTGAAAGCCATGCTCCTACACTGGTGCCACCGCTGGTTGGGCCATGCTCACCGCATGGCGGAAGGGAAGATTTTATTTTTTTTTATCTTTTCTTCTTCTCTTTCTTTTTCCACTTTTTTTCCCCATAGGATTTGTACACGTTTTCATTCTGCAAGCCACTTTGGGAATTCTTTTAAATCTGATCAACTTTTAAACTTTCGATGGTCATTAACCATCATCTAAAGATATATGCCAAAACTTTTCGTCATCGTGACGTCATCAGGGGTCACGCGACATCCATTTGAATGTTAATTTTTACAGTCTTATTAATATTGAACTATTGGGCTGATTGGTCTGAAACTTGGTATGTATATAGTCAGGGAAGTGTTATGGATGAAAACTGGTATGTCAAGGTCACGTGACCTTCACTTCCGGTTTTACAGCAAGTGGTAATTTTAGACCCCTATATCATTTCTCATGAATCATTCATCTCATTGGGTTGAAACTTCACATTAATACAAAGCTATATTGACAGATAATTATATTGCATTATTATAACTGTGCACTTAATTATTATCATGTTATGACGTCATGAATATTTGATGAGGCAATCTTTACAGTCTTATAACTTTAGAACTATTTAACCGACCGATCTCAAACCTGGTAGGTATATATACAGGGAAGTGTTTATAGATGAAATTGGTATGTCAAGGTCATGTAACCCCTACTTTCGGTGTTACCGGAAGTGCTAATATTAAACCCTTATTAGCATAATCTAATGAATTATAAATTTGATGGGATTGACACCTTATATTAGCATTAAGCAACATTAAAGGATAAATATGTTGCAGTATTGTTAATGGGCAATTTATTGTTTTCATGTTATGACGTCATGAATATATAGACAGGAAAGTGTTATAAATGAAAATTGGTATGCAATTATTTTAGATAACACTTTCAATTTTAAAAGTCACAGATTTTCGAAAAAATCATTCAGTTATTTTCTACTGTCCAATAGACAATCAAAAACATGTTGGGAACAGCTCTGTGAGTTGTTCACTCACAACCACATAGTTCTAGTTATTTATTAGCCTGCTTCCACAATTATCTTTAACGAGTGATCTTTGACTTTGTGTGTGAACTTTCACATCATTATCGTGTGAAGGTTCCCATGTTGCATCTGTGACCCAAGTTTGGTTCCAATTCGACATCAAGTTTTGAAATGAGACCAATATTACATTTTCTGCCTATTTCACAACTTGACCTCAGACAACCTTGGTATGTGACCTTTTACATCATCATATGAAGTTTCCCATGTTGCATCTATGATTCAAGTTTGGTTCCAATTGGACTTCAACTTTTGAAATGAGACCAATTTTACGAATCTTTAACCAAAATACCACATACATACATACATATATACATAGTGAGTGCATAGTCTTTTTTCATGAACAAAGTCCAGGTGAGGAAAAAAGAGATGACATTTTATTTTTTGATGTTGAGGCGGGCACACGCGCAACGTCAACATTAGAAACCAACTCGATACCGACAGATACCTCCACAGCAGTTCCTTTCATCACCCCACGATCAAGTTTTCTGTCAACCAGGCCCTTGACTGCAGGGTGTACAACATCTGCGACAAGGAACACCTACCGCAGAACTCCGCCACATCACCACAGCACTAAAACGTAATGGATAAAAGCCAAGCCAAGACTCAAGATCCTACATTCACTCTCGACCAGAGAGTGAATGTTCCTTTGATCTTGACTAGTTGAGCCACTAGGTCATTTCCCTTCCCTAGACATTACTTCCCACCACATTCAACATATCCTCCACGAGTATTGCACACACAGCACCCCTGAAGATCCAAAACCAGATGCAATCACATAAGGGCCAGCAAGACCCAGGACCAGGAGTGTAGTGGCAAAGAGTATATCAGTGAGACTGGCAGAGAGGTCCCAGCCAGCCTCACTGATTTACTCTTTGCCACGGTACCCCAGCGACATCTGGCGCTCCATCCTCACCACACAGTCCAATGGATCTCCAACACCCTCAGACAATTTAGTTTCCCCACCCTATTCAGCCTATGTTTCATATACACTTGGCAACCTTTCCTTGTGCTTCTCAATGAACACAAATCCCATGGCACATGCAGAGATTTTGACAAATCCTCCATAGTCAAGCACTTCCACACATAAGATCACCAGATCAACTGGCAGCGGGTTGATCTATCACCAGCATCAAGCACTGATTTCCCCCGCCGCATCAGCGAGGTCACTGAAATCTTCAACCACGACACAATATCGCATCCTCACCACACATTCCAATAGGTCTCCTACACCTAAGGGCAAGTTAGTTTCCCCACCCTAGTCAGCCTATGTGTTCCCTATACCCATGGCAACCTTCCCCTGTGCTTATAAGATTTGTTCAAGATGACTAAAGCCCCATGGATTAATTCTGATTTGCATCGCCCCCGGACACATGTGGGCGCATGTGGGCACACGCGGACGCACGAGGGCACATGCGGGCGAATGCAGGCAACCCCATGCCACACGGGTCTGCCCAGATTGCATGGGCCCATGCGTTCCTTTGAGTGCAATTGAGGGCAATTGCGTGCCATTTTGTGCTGACCTTTTGACCCCAAAACCAATCCCAACTTGGCTACTCTAAAGGGCAACCTGCTACTAAAGTTAGACACCAAAATCTCATTTCAAACTCAAGTTATCCAGAAACCATTTACCTTTAACTCACCACGGTGCACTCAACCTTTGACCTTTGACCTCGAAACCAATCCCAACTTGCCTTCTCCTAAGGGCAACCCCCTACCGAAGTTACAATCCCAAACAACATTTCTAACTTAAGTCATCATCCGGAAACTAAGCTGCCCGGACGGACGGACGGACGTACGCTCAGCATTGTGTTCCCATTATCCCTTTTTCTAAAGATTCTCTTCTGGGGTGATGTTTTTCTATTGTGAAAATAGTGGGGTGATGTGTCCTGAAAGGAACATCACCCCACAAGGGGGGTATGGTCATAACAACCCTACGGACGTACGGACGGACGCCGTGGGCGATGACAATACCCCTCGAGCCTCTCGGCTGAGGGGTAAAAACAACACACAGCTGTGCATACAACAAAATAAAAGATCCCATTTCTATTGTTTTAGCCACTGTGACCTTGACCCTTGACCTTGCTCCAAATGGAATAAGCTTCTTAGGATTACCAAAAACAACCCCTGAACCAAATTTGAAGTTCATATGTTAAGTATTTCTCAAGTTATTGCGCTGACAAAATTTCTTTTGTTTTAGCTACTGTGACCTTGACCCTTGGCCATTTGGCCCTAAATGCAACAGGCTTCTTAGGAGTACCAAGATCAATCAACAAACCAAATTTGAAGTTCACATGTGAAGTATTCTCAAGTCATTGCGCTGACAAGATTTCTATTGTTTTAGCCACTGTGACCTTGATCCTTGACGTTTTGGCCCTAAATGCAATAGGCTTCTAAGGATTACCAAGAACAATCCACAAACCAAATTTAAAGATCATATGTTAAGTATTCTCAAGTTATCGGGCTGACAAAATGTCTATTGCTTTAGCTACTGTGATCTTGACCCTTGGCCATTTGGCCCAAAATGCAACAGGCTTCTTAGGAGTACCAAGAACAATCAACAAACCAAATTTGAAGTTCACATGTGAAGTATTCTCAAGTTATTGCGCTGACAAGATTTCTATTGTTTTAGCTACTGTGACCATGACCCTTGGCCATTTGGCCCAAAATGCAACAGGCTTCTTAGGAGTACCAAGAACAATCCACAAACCAAATTTGAAGTTCACATATGAAGTATTCTCAAGTTATTGCACTGACAAGATTTCTATTGTTTTAGCCACTGTGACCTTGATCCTTGACGTTTTGGCCTTAAATGCAATAGGCTTCTAAGGATTACAAAGAACAATCCACAAACCAAATTTGAAGTTCATATGTTAAGTATTTCTCAAGTTATTGCACTAACAAGATTTTTATTGTTTTAGCCACTGTGACCTTGATCCTTGACGTTTTGGCCCTAAATGCAATAGGCTTCTAAGGATTACCAAGAACAATCCACAAACCAAATTTAAAGATCATATGTTAAGTATTTCTCAAGTTATCGCGCAAACAAAATTTCTATTGTTTTAGCTACTGTGATCTTGACCCTTGGCCATTTGGCCCAAAATGCAACAGGCTTCTTAGGATTACCAAGAACAATCAACAAACCAAATTTGAAGTTCACATGTGAAGTATTCTCAAGTTATCGCGCTGACAACATTTCTATTGTTTTAGCCACTGTGACCTTGATCCTTGACGTTTTGGCCCTAAATGCAATAGGCTTCTAAGGCTTACCAAGAACAATCCACAAACCAGATTTGAAGTTCATATGTTAAGTATTTCTCAAGTTATCACGCTGACAAGATTTTTCCGGACACACCTGACCACACATGCACACATGTAGTCGTGTTTTACTATACTCTTGAGGACAATGCTTTGTCTTTTCCTTTGTCCCTGTAATATAACACTCTCCCATAGACTAAGCACACAAACGCACGACCGAGGACCGATTTCAACAAAAGATGAACTCTCGAGGACAACAAAGAATCTGTTGTTCTCCCTTTGTCTGTCTGTCCTCGGGATGTATATAGTTCACGTACACACTTACATAGGCATAGAAGTGGGGTACTTCCTTTGTACTCGTGTACAAAAATTTTGCAACATCGCACACTTATGTCAAAATGCTCTTATTTTAACCATAGTTAATTTCCTGGGCTGAAATTCGGACTTAATATCCCTGTTCTAAAACTCTTCCATTTGCGACAGATCAACCCACCTTGGAAATTCCTAGTTTTTGAGTAAAATCCATATATCTATTTCGTGAAAAAACTTGTGGGGTACCAAAACGGTACCCCGCAAGTCGGTGGGCATTCCTTGTGGGGTACCTCCCATTGTTCTGGTACCCCACAAGGCAGTGTTTGTACACGAACCCACCCCCACCCGTGTGTAAACACCGGCAATCGTTGATGCCCCATTGTCCCTAATCCTCATTCCTTTGTTTGTACTCTCATCAATTTTGTACACAATTTGAGATCGCGGATGTTCGGTCAATCGTGGACCCTTTGTTTGTGCCCTAACCCTTTTGTCCCCCTAGTCCACGATTGCCGGTGTTTACACATTGCCACGATTGCCGGTGTTTACGGTGCAAACCCACCCACCCACCCACGGAAGGACAAGGCGGAAACAGTATGCCCCTTCGGCCTCGCCTAACAAATGTGACACAAAAACAAATGTGACACAAAAACAATTTCCACCTTGTCCTTCCCACCCACGGAAGGACAAGGCGGAAACAGTATGCCCCTTCGGCCTCGCCTAACAAATGTGACACAAAAACAATTTTGAAATTAGCATGTTGCATCCATGAGATATGGCGCTTAGGCTCAAAAATTTCAAAAATATTACACGATGATGTCATGATGATATCACCTCAATTTTCTCCTATAACACATCCTGGTCTACCTACCTACCAAGTTTCAACCCAGTCGGAATTACAGTTCTCCAGATAGAGGACTATAACATATGCACATTTATGATGACGTCACGTGACCCACGATGATGTCACCATGAGGTCACTCTTCAGGACAACACATTGCTACAGGGATTTAAATTACAGGGAACAAAAAGAAGAAGAAAAGAAACAAAAGAAGAAAGAACAAAAGAAAGGCTTTCTTTGCGGACAAGCCAACATTTTTTTAACGAAAACAAAGGCTGTTTCGGCCGGTTGCTGTAACAGCCAAAAATACTGCAAGTGAGACTTGCCCAATGCAAGTGAGGCTTGGCATGCGGGCAGTTTTTATAAAGTCAGTGTCCCTTACCTAACCAAAATGGAAGATTTCTATTGTTTTAGCAATAGTGATCTTGACCTTTGACCTGTTGGCCCCCAAATTAATAAGGTTCTTAAGACTACCAAGAGCAACCCACAAACCAAATTTCAAGTTCCTAAGTAAAGTACTTTTCAAGTTAATATGCCGACAATGTTTCTATTTTTTTTTAGCAATAGTTACCTTGACCTTTGATCTGTTGGCTCCAAAAGCAATAGGCTTCTTAAGACTACCAAGAAAAACCCTCAAACCAAATTTCAAGTTCCTAAGCAAAGTATTTCTCAAGTTATTACGCTGACAATGTTACTATTTTTCTAACAATAGTGACCTTGACCTTTGACCTGTTGGCCCCATCAAGAACAACCCAGAGCTTTTACAGAGGTCTAGGCAATGTGTTAATCAGATTTAGAGGTGTTATAAAGCAACTGAAAATATCAAAATTATTTACCATTGTTCCACGTTGTTTACATATTGCATCTATCTCATCAAAGATGATAATATGAAGTCCACTATTGGCTCCGCACTGCAATAAAAAAAAAAAGAACATATTGATGACATACTACCGACTAAACAGGCATGTTAATACATAAACATCATCCAAATAAAAATGTAACAAGGCTAAGCATACTTCAATTTGGCATCACGGTACTTTCCTCATTTTCTACAGCTGTGACAGGGGTTCGGATCCCGCCTGGGCCAATGTCACTTATGTTCCAGCTGCTCATTTGGTTTGTGCGCTACCCTCTTAACCGAAGAAATGCCGACACTGAGCAAACACGGCTGCCCACTGTCACAGTTTGACCCTCTGAATAATGGGTCAACATCACTTTTGAATTACTTTGTTAAATTTTTCTTTCCATTCCCAAAAAAATTTAGGCATTCAAATTCACTTTTGTTAATCCTTGCGTGAAAAAAAGAGGGCGGTTTGGTGCCAAATTAGTTGCTTTTGGTGTCGTGTACTACAAAAGTAAGTTGGTCACAAATTCGAAACAGGCTTCAGTTTAGGGGAGTAATTTTTCAGTTTTGCCGAGTTAGTGCAAACTGCTCATTATTGTCAAATGTCAAAAGGATGCCACGAACAGTGTGATGAATAAATATCATGGAAGAAACGCCCCGTTTGAATGAGAAGTAATATTAAGAAGGTTTTATTTTATACATTTTTACATTGAATGTATAAATATGATTGTACATGCAATGTAGTATGAAAGTACTTGGTGTACGGTACAGAATGTTGTTGATGATAGTCACTCATGCTGTTGTTCTCTCCAGTGGTGTTAAGAAACTGGTTCATAATTCCGAGTCATAAGTATTTTAATGCAGCACTGACAATACGAACATGATGAAAGACGAGTGTCAAGGAAACAAATCAGAAGTACCTTGATTTATATTATTTATTAAATAGTCCCGGCTGACAATTACTGAGACATCCTCTGCAGTCTGGTCATTCTCAAATGTCAGGAATGTAGAAACTGCTACTGATTATGTTGGCACCTATGTGAAATGTCCTTCACCCAAATTATCCTTGGTTTTGTCATGTCAAGATTTATTCACCTTTTTTTCAGTCTTAATATTAATACATTTATAGGCCTACAAGTCTAGCTCTGAGGATTTAAATTTGGTCATGATTAATGGGGCCCTAAAATGTGCAGCCCCCAGCACAACTAGCCAGCCCCTTTTAGTTGCTGCACAGGCTGATTCTCTCTTTTACACATGAATGCTGTGTGCCACTTCAGCTTTTCACAATTTTTTGGAAAAGCTGCAATAAATTTAATTTCTAGGATTATTTTCAATCCAGTGGGTAGTCACAACTGACAAGAGGATGTCCACAGTATCAAGTATCCTTCGGACATGAACCTGGCCTATCCATGTTAACCTGCTCAAAGAATAAACTGGTGTTTGGACCTTACAGTAAAGTTCCATGTCATAATGTAGTACTGTTTTTCATTTCAAACAAATGAAGTGTGCAGTTTTTGTTTTACTTCAGAGCTTGGAAGTAAGGAAAGGGAGGAAAGTGAGACAGGTACAAAAAAAGCTCACCCTCTATGCACATATTTACAATTTTGAAATATTGAAAATGGAAGCATGGAGTAAAAATATCATTTTGACAGTCACGGAATCTCCAAAGAAAATGTTTAAAACTTAGTATATTTGCACAACATTTCCTTGATTATCACAATTCTAACCATCTCCCCCTTCTTTGTTTTCAGCCAAGGAACATGTTGACTGCATCAGGAATATGGGGGAACCCTGGAGTGAATGGCTGACATCTCTAGATTAGCACTGAATAATAATAACAATAACACAATTTATAGCACGCATTTTCGCAAGTATCAATGCGCGACTAAGGACAACTCCAGAAGACAAGTTACAGATTATGTCGAGAGAAAAGATCAGTTTTCAGTCGGCCATTAAAGTTGTCAAGAGAACTGATGTTGCGGATGTTGTGCGACAAGGAATTCCAACGTCGGGGACTAGACACTGAGAAGGCCCTGTCCCCTGCCTTTTTGAACTCGCGTGGAACTCTAAGGTTGTTACTGGAGCGGAGGCCACTACGGCTGGGTGCATTAAGGTTGAGTGATCCCATTGTGTACTGCGGCATTGTGTTACGAAGTGCTTTGTGCATGAAAACTGCTGTTTTGAAGTTGATGTGTTGTCTAACTGGTAACCAATGTAATTTTTGAAGGAGTGGAGAGGCATGTGTGTGTTTGGGTTGAGATAATGTGATACGAGCGGCATTGTTTTGAAGCTGTTGGAGTCAATCAACCTCATACTGATTAATGCCATTGAGGAGAGAGTTGCAATTACCAAGTCTGGATAGTACAAGTGCTCAGACAGTGGCGTGGCATGAGTTTGTGTCTATGTATTTACATATAGATTTTATAAACATATTTATATGTATTGATATGTACTTTTTTCTGTGCGATTTATGGCCCTACTGAAGATATCTACTGGTACTTCTCTTAATTTGAAGCACTGTACATGTATATGTTAAACCTTTAAACCATGCATTTTAAAAATGGAGTATAAACTGTAATCAGTATGTCTCACAAGTATATCTACTTGTTGGATATGCCAGGTTGGACAACATCTTCATTGCATTACGACTGAGGTAAGGGAGTCCACCTCAGCTATGTGAGCACCCTTTCTGCTTGTAAATAAACACGCAAGTGCCATGGGAACCTCTCCATGGCCTTGTTTGTTTATGTGCCTTTGATCCATATCATTGCACACATCAGCAGTTGAACTACCAAACTAGCTTATTGGGAATATATGGGGTAATGATCCTCCTTAAAGGGAAGATACGATATTTGCAAAAATAAAAAAACAAAATGATCGAATTACCACGAAATACCTTACTGGATCACAGGGAACGACAGTCTAAAGCATCCTGTAAAATCGTGGCTCCTGGTGTGCCGACACTGTCAGGAAAGTTTGTTTTATTACAACGCTGGTCCAGTGTTGACCAGCGTTGGAGAAAACTGGCATTTGTTCAAAAACTGCTCCTAATTTTTCATATTTAGTTATTCCGCATTTTCTTTGCAATTGATTACACACCTGTGAAGAGGTACAAGCCAGCTAGACTGATTCTCTGACCTTATAATTCCCCAAAGTCTATAAATTGCTCAGTTTCATCTCAAGTGGGGTCAGGGAACCAGACTACAATAACAAGATCGGTTTTCTTGGATTTTCCAGCATCTCCGAGCCCTAAACGTGAAACAAGTCAGTGTAACAAATTTGCTATAACATACTCATCCTCCAAATCCATTAATTTCTGAAAATTGCAGCAAAAGCAGAAGTTGTACATTCCCTTTAACATCCTCTAAGTAATTTGGTGAGTTTATACAACGTATGGTACAAAGCAAAAAGAGGCAGACATCATGCAAATGAGGCTTTGCCCCGCCCATAACACAGGGGGAGGTGGCTTCATCGCCTGTTGCCCGTTTTGCGGTCAAACCTAATGAATAACTCATGATCACATAAACATAAAAAGTTTCCTCTTTAGAGTATAGCGGTGATAGCGGTGATGATGCAAGTCAGCCAAGCCTATCAAATTTTGTGAGATTATGAAGCTGATACAATGTAATAGTAAGAGATACGAACAAATTAAAATGGAGTTGTTTCGGAAAGGCTTCTTCATTAATCCTTCTCTCGACAAAAGTTAAATTCCTCCCCACAGAAATGTGGATGGTGTCTATGAATGAATACTAACCTGTAGAGCATACCTCTTATGCATATTTCCCAACACCGGCAGGTATTTATGCTAAGAGTGTGTACAATAGCGCCCCTTGTGAGCGTCCTCTTTTCTCGAGCGCGAAGTTGGAGCACCCATAAATCGAGGATAGTGGGGTAGGAGGGAGGGATGAAGGTAGGAGGTATTTAATCGTAGACCCCATCCACACTTCTGTGGGGGGGGGGGGGAGTCTATGTCACTCTACTTTGTTGTGCCATTTACTTATGCACAGGCTAGCACTGTGGTATTGGGGGTAGGTCATGCGAGATGCTATTGTATATTCACAGGGGCACGTGACATGAGACGTAACATGAGATGTAACCCAGATGGGCTCCGCTGCTCCACATGTGGGTGGACAGGCAAGCCCAGAAGGTCTGTTTGTTCAAGGCAGTAACTATGCAGTAGCCTTAACATAGCAACCGAGACCAGGCTGCGCTACGGGGAATTGCGTCGTATTGAACCAGAGCCCACCGGCACATAATTATAAGTGTACAGTGGGGCACACAATGATCATAAGAGGCAAAGCCTTATGACATAATGTAAAAGGTTTAATAAGGAATCACAGAAAGGACACTAGCCTATTCTAGGGAAGCCCACTGTAAGGGGATGCAGAGATTTATTTCTACACCATTTGTAAAAGTGGTGAAGTCTACTGATGTAAATTCTTCTCTTTTTCTTGGTTTATGTTCTCTGACTGCAGGCTGCAATGGTCGCAGCTCTTTGAGAAAGGCGTGTCGTGCAGACGGATTGCTTGACAGCACCCAGCACATCAGGTGAAGTTCCTGCTGAGCCACGTGAAGGAGACCCGAGCTGGGCTGGAACAGCTGACAAAGTACCATTGGACGGTGAACCAAGAATCTGGTTAACCTTGGGAACCAGGGTTTGCGTGGCCAGAAGGGAGCTATCAGGTGAACCTTGCAGTCTTCCTGCTCCAGTTTGGTTAGTACCCGGAGATGAGGGAGAACCAGGGGAAGGTGTATACAAATAACCTGTCCCACTGCATCGCCAGTGCATCGGCACACGCAGTAGACCAGTTATTGGTGATTGTATCGAGAGCAAACAGCTCAGGACTGCCCAGCCCACTACTGATACCCAAAAATGTTGGGAAGCGTTGGAGACTGCCAACATCTTGAGTACATTTATGTGACTTGAGTGGTGTTCGGGACCCCAGTGACCCGCTGCAATGGGCAGGTGGAAGGTAGCCCCAGCCAGAAAGTGACTTGTCTGTCATGACAGTCAATGATGGCTGGGGTGTGAGGTTGGCACTGTTGGGCCACCAACGGAAGTGCAGT